CTCTGTCTCTGTCTCTGTCTCTCTCTCTATTTTAAAATTGAAAGCTCATTTGAGATGTTATATCATTTTATCCCTACAAAATTAACATATGCATAAAATAAGGGCATTTTACTTGTATAAATATATGCCTCTAACAAAATGATCAATAACCTCCGTGCCACCTAGATCCAGTTCATATTCAAATTTCCCTGATTAATGTGACATTTAGTCCTTATCATTACACAAAGAAGCATTTGCTCTGTTTAAAATAGGACTCTAAAGTAAAGATGTTTATATGACTAGAGGCTTTATTTTTTAACTCAAGGCCTTACCACTTAGACCAGACCCTCAGCTCTTTTTCACTTTTAGGTTGTTTTTCAAATAGAGTCTTGTGTATGTGCTTAACAGACCTCAGACCTCATTCCTCTTATCTTCCTCCTGAATAGCTGAGATTACAGGTGTGCACCACCTTGCCCCCAGCCATCTCTAAAGTTTAGGGAGATTTTTTTTCTGTTAGTTTGGCAAGAGCTGTACAAGATGATTAGATTTGGATCGCAGTTTTACTTGTATTTTTGTTTCTAATTGACTCTTCCTGGAGGATTCATGAAGCATTGACAGCTTCCCACACACATCCTCCTTTGGTCTAATAACTGTATCATTTAGGCTATTGATTAGGCATGTAGGAAAGCTTTTGCCCCCGTGTATTTTCCACACCATCCTCTGTGGTGGGGGTGGGAGAGGCTAAAAACTACCAGGGGGCTTCAGTGAGGATCTGCATGCCAGGGTCACAGTGACACTGGGCTAGCCCAGGGAGGGGGAGGGGAACAGAGAAATCACCACAGGCCAAGTCTGAAGAGCATAGAAAAGAACCCACCTCATTTCTACTTTCTTTCTTAAACAAAAGAAGGAAGAAGACACAAAACATGACAAGGGAACAAAGGAACAAAATAATACCATGTTCACCTTGAAAATGTGAAGTCCAGTGAATCATGTTTCTTACTATCCAAATTAAACTTTTGTTTTTCTTTTTGCCAGTCCTGGGGCTTGAACTCAGAACCTGGGTGCTGTTCCTGAGCTTTTGTGATTAAGGCTAGTGCTCTACCACTTGAGCCACAGCTTACTTCTGATGTTTTTGTGATTAATTGGAAATAAGAATCTTGGGACTTTTCTGCTTGGGCTGGCTTTGACCCACAATCCTCAGTTCTCAGCCTCCTGAATAGCTAGGATTATGGGCAGGAGCCACCCAATTCAGCTTAGCTCATCATTTGACTCAACTTTTTAAAATGTATACACATTTTAGGGGCTGGGAAGATAGCTCACTGGTAGAGTGCTTGCCTTGCATGCAGGAGGCCCTAGGTTCCATTCCTCAGCACCGCATAAGCAGAAAAAGCCAGAGGTGGCGCTGTGGCTCAAGTGGTAGAGCGCTAGTCTTGAGCTGAAGAGCTGAGGGACAGCACCCAGGCCCAGAGTTCAGGCCCCACGACTGACAAAATAAAAGTATGCACATCTTAATAACCCCTCGATGTACATGGTATCTTCTAGCTGTGTATTTTGTTACATATTGGCACTTTATAAAGTATTAGGATTATTTCTACATATCACTAAACATGGGTTTAAACAAGGTTGCTAATAGTTGCATCGTATCATAACGCATACATACACTATACATTTAGATTGTTTATAGTTTATCATGATAAGAATGCTACCATAAAAATCCTTGTACTTAAGTCTTTGAATATCTCTCTTTTCATGATAAAATCTGGTAAGTAGCATTAGTAGGTGAAAATGAACATATCCTAAAAGTGCTTTCTAGAATATTTGTCCTGATTCATGTGTAACTGAAAATATATGAATAAACCCATTTCCCTACAGCCTCACTAGTACTAGTGCTGCCTCTTGCCATTTGGAACATGAATATATATAATTTTCCTCCCCTTTTGGTTCCTTAATCATTTCATCCCCTACCTCAAAGGAATGAGTTGGTGGTTTTGTTCTCTTTCCCTAGCTCCTGACTCACTGGTGGAGGGAAATGGATAGACCTAGAACAAACCATATAAAGCGAAGCTAGCCAAGCTCAGAGAGACAAACAATGCATGTAGAAGTTAGGTTTAAAATATCACTGGACAAGATTACCTTTGTTGCTTTCCCCCATAGAGACTAAATTGTGTTCCTCATCAGGTGGTTAATGAGCCTTGTGGAGCTATACACAGGTATAACTTATATGTGTATCTTTGTGAATGCTTTTCTTGGGAGAGAATCTGAAGTTTCATCTTCCTGTAAAAGAGCCCACGAAATGATTACAATCTTTGCCAAGGAGAAAGTTCTAAGGGCTCCTAACTGTAATACCTTAGCCGCCAGGCAGCAGACAGACAAGAGCAAAGTGGACTGGGCATCTTCAAATGCAGTTGTTCCAACTAAGTGGAGTAATCTCTTGACTTTGGACCACTATCTATGGGTGGGAACATGGGCTGTGTTTCTAAATCTTAGTTCTTAATTTTTTTTTCAAATTCAGAAATCTGTCCATGAAATCTTTCAAATATAAACTACATAGCATAACTTAGAGTTCAACAAAGAAACACTGCATAGGACAAACATTACCCTCCCTACACACACTGCTCTCCTTTCAGTCTGGTCAGCTCAAAAGGAACATATAACTCAATCCATAAATAAAAATATACCATTCAGGTTTCTAATAAGACCAAACCACCAAAACCATTTGAGCACACAGCACTGATGGGACACTAGTCTAACTCAAGTTTGGCCCTTGGTAAGTTCAAGGGCTAAATATCAGAGCTCTTCAAACAATGTGGTTGCTGAATGCAGAAACTCCTGACACCCTCTGTATCTTCATCCTGGCCAAGGTCCAGGAGCGAAGATCAGGCCTTCCAGAGGCAGTGGAGAAATAAATTCTAGAACAGGACATGTCAAGACTCCTAGATGTATGATTATATAAAACCTTGACGTTCAAGCCTACTACACTAGTAACTGTCATACCACATTCTTTAGTTGCCAGAAGGACATGATAGAATGTGCTCCACAGCTTATTGGACCCAGAGAAGTGACCTTTTTGTAAACCAACTTCCTTTCTAGCTTCACTTGAGAGCTTACTCTTCGAAAAAACCTCGTAACACGATGATCAATTAGAGAAAAATAAAAATGTTCAAAATCCTTAGCCTAAATGAACTACAAATCAAATCTACACAGAGATACTATGACACCCCAGTCAGAATGACAGTCATCAAGAAAACAAGCAGCTTGACACTGGTGGCTCACGTCTATAATCCCAGCAACTCAGGGGGCTGAGATCTGTCAATTACAATTAGAAGGCAGCTCAGGCAAGAACGTTCATGAGACTCTTATCTCCAATTAGCCACCAAAACTGAACCGGAAGTGGAGCGGTGGCTCAAAAGGTAGCATGCTAGCTTTGACCAAAAAAAAAAAAGCTCAAGGACAGTGCTCAGGCCCTGATTTCAAGCTCTAGAACATGCTCATGCATGTGCACGCACACGCACACCCCTCCTCCCCCCCACAGAAACAAGTAGCAACAAATACTGGCAAGGATTTAGGGAAAAAAGGAACCCTCATTCACTGTTGGTGGAAACATAAACTAATACAACCACAATGGAAATGAGTATGGAGGGTCCTCAAAACACTAAAAATTAGCCTTCATATGACCCACTATATCTCTTTTGGGCATACACCTGAAAGAGTCTACATCAAGAAAGATAGCACATACCCATGTTTATCATAGCATTATTTACAATAGCCAAACGCTGCAAGTTGCCTCCCAGTAGAAGAAAGGATAAAGGAAAGATGCAATATGTATATACATGTATGCATGTACATGTACATATCTGTATATATGTGGAATATTACTCAGCCATAAATAAAAATAGAACTGTGTAGTTTGTAGGACATGAACAAGTCTGGAGACCATCATGCTGAGTGAGATAAGCAAAACTTAAATAGCTACATACCTAATATTCTCATTTGTTTGTGGTGTATAGACCTAAAATGATGCTCATAACTTATGACAATGATTAATGATGGTGATAGTAATTATGATGAGAGACATAAATGTAGGAGGGAAACTAAGAAGGAATTAGAATTAGTGGAGGGGTGGGGTGAAGAGGCTCAAAGGACATTATATACAATATGTGTGTATACTATGTATGTATCATATATGTTATGCATATATCATATGTTATACATATCATATATACATATATATCATATAAATGACTATCTATCTATCTATCCATTTGAAACCCATCTACCTGAAACTAAATGCTGTGTGAAAAAGTGGGGAGGGAGCAGGGGAGGAACAGAACTATGGTGGAGAGGGCGAATTTGTTCCAAGTGTACCCTATGTCTGCTAACTCAAAAAAAAAAAAAAAGGAAAACAAAACCAAAACAAAAAGTCATTTCCAAATGGAACCATCTCACAAGTTCAGACTTAAAATACTGGTCTGTAAAATAAGATGCAAAGCCCTAATCCAATGTTTTCTCCAGCACTCAGCCACAGGCCTCCGGCAGATACCCAGACAGCAGTGTAGCATGTTCTAGGGTCTGTAGTCAAGTGTATATAGGAGAGAAGCAAGAGGAGAGGTACCCTGGAGGCGGCTGCCACAGGGAGCTGGGGCTGGAAAACAAGTGAGTGAACTAAACATGACCAAACTTGACAACCACAGATTTTCCCGGAGGATGCTAGCTGACATTTCACAGACCAACTATGCCTTTTGCACCCCTCCGGATGCTCTAGATAGAGCTTTATTTGTAAGTTTGAAAATAGCATCTCCCTCACAAGACATTATTTATTATACCAGTGAAGATGTGAGCTGTGGTGGACACTGTAGATGAAGAGTAGGGCACTGAGCAATCAACACAAGCAAATATATTCAAGTGAGGAGAGAGTGTGTTTATGATGCAATTCCTGCATTTCAATTTTTTTCCCCTTGTTTAGAAAAGAGTAAATTAGCTTCTGCTGGGTTCCTTAAATATAACAGAGCATATCCGGGTACCTGTGATCATGCTGGATATAATTAATGGCAGAATGATGAGTTTCAGCATCCTCATGAGAATTTCTCCAGGGAAAGCAAAGTAGAATTTCTCCAGATTTGAGAGCTTGCTATATTCTCGAACTAAGACTCCTATGGTGATGCCTAAAACAAAAAGTAGGATAGAAAAGGAACATTGTTGAGTTCTCCTGTATGCATTTTGTTAGGAAAAAGTTTACACCCCAAAATAAATTGTAATGACAAGAAAAACAGTTTAGATCATTTGTCATAAGTCTGTAAAACTTAGACTAAAAAAAAGGAAAACAACCAGAATGAGTACAAAGTACATATTTATAGTAAATCTGTGAGAGAATATGTTTCACATGAAAGCTTTGTATTTCCTTTCCTTCAGTTATATTTATTGTACTGACAAAATGCCAAAGGATGCTATGGAAAGAGTTATAAAAGGTTGTTTTTTTTTTCTCCCTTCCTTTATGATGCTGAAGACTGAGCTCAGGACTTCATGCATTCCAGGCAAGTACTTGCTCCCCAGCCACCAAGTTTATTCATGTCAACGAACAAAGACCTTTTATACATTTTACAGTTTACATATTGGTATTTGTTTTTCTCATAAGACTTTTTGTTTTGATTTTTTTTTTACTTGGTATGAGGGATTGAACCATGGCCTTGTGATTTTTTTGTTGTTGGTGGTGGTCATGAGGCTTGAACTCTGGGCCTGGATACTGTCCCTCCACTCTTCTGCTCAAGCTAGTGCTCTACCACTTGAGCTACAGCACCACTTCCAGTTTTCTGGTGCCTTATTAGAGATAAGAGTCTCATGGACTTTTCTGCCTGGGCTGGATTTGAACCACAATCCTTAGATCTTAGCCTCCTTAGTAGCTAGGATTACAGCTGTGAGCTACTGGTACCCAGATGGCCTTGTGAATGATTGATTTTGTCGGTTGTGGGGCTTGAGCTCTGGGCCTGGGCACTGTCCCTCAGCTCTTCAGCTCAAGGCTAGTGCTCTACCACTTGAGCCACAGCGTCACTTCTGGCTTTTTCTGCTTATGTGGTGCTGAGGAATGGAACCCAGGGCCTCACGCATGCACTCTACCACTGAGCCAACTTCCCAGCCCCGGCCTTGTGATTTTTGAGGTGAATATTTTGCTACTTGAACCACACCTCTAGCCAACCTTCCTTCCTTCCTCCCTCCCTTCCTTCTTTCTTTTCATTTTTGAAATGAGGTCTTTCTAACTTTGTCTGAGGTTGCCCTGAATTCATGATTTCCTATCTCTGCCTTTTGAGTAGCTGACACCAGAGGCATGTCATGTAGCTAAGGCAGCCACATGACCAGTTTAAGACAAGCTTTCATGATATTCAAACTTTATTATTTATGAAACCTTAATTTTAACAGCAAAATAATACTATATTAATTTGAGATATTTAACATATTATTAAGCAACTGTTTCCTCTGATGATTTGTATTATTTCCATGTTCACATATTCCTGACCAAAGAAGCTTTTTTAAAATCAAGTTTCAGACACTGAGTTCCACATAATTATGTAAGTACAAGGACATATTCATTGTTAAGATATGGTATACACAGTCTCTGAATTTTGCCTTAACAAGATGCCTATGTAAAGTCTTCCAGCTGTGTGGAGAACAACATTTAAATGTAAATTTTAACAAAAACTCACAAATTTTATCTTTAGCTTGTTTCAAATATTTCTAAAAAGTCTAAGCATTTCACCTGTTCATCCTCTGCTCACCAATGTATATTTTTAAAATCAAGAAATAAATGAGTTGGGTGATTCTTACAGCTTTCTCTTTCGTCAGCCTCTGATGAATGACGTGGTAATTGGAGCAAATGACTAAGTGACAGGAAGATTCAAGGAAAATATCACTGGATATGCAAATTCACAACTCAAACAACTAGTACATGGAAACCCAGAGCTCTTTGGGCACAGTTAAATGTCACAGAGTAATGAAAGGAGAATTATAATCCATACTAGAATTTTCATTTCAATGCAAGGATCCTTCCTTTCTTCACAAATAAAGCAAATAGATGTACCTTGTAAGAGACATTTTGAATAGCTTTGCATTTAGCTGAACTTTTTTCTCCAATGTATTTTCCCTTTGCCTGTTCTCTATTTTTGCGTTACTGAATGCATTTCTGGTTTTACATATGTATCCCCCAAAAAAGAATGTCCCAGATCATCAGTAAGACAAACAAACCAACTTTATTATGGATCCAATTGGCTCACTTCTGAACATCTAGTGTTAGACTCATGAGTGGTTAAGACATCAAGTATTCAAAATCCTTTAAGTAAATTTAAAAGGCACGGCACACTCATTTCCTGTTTTATTCACTGTCTGTGCTTGGCTGTTCTATATAAACTCACTTTTTTTTTTGCCATAGTGATAACTCATAATGTTCAAGGCTTTTAAAAAACAAACTTTCTCTCTCATGCTGAACACAGATTGTTTCAAGTCAACTTCTGACTCATATTTCAAAGAAATCCCAGTGTGGGGGAGGGAAGTGTATTTGTGCTCAAAAAGAAGCTACAAAATATTCTGTTGAGGAGCAACGGACTTCCATGTGTCCACCTTTAAGGTTTAGATTACCAAGGGTGAGCTACTGCAGATAAATGCAAGGTTGTTAGGAAAACAAACAAACAAACACGTGCCTGCTACTTTTCAGCCTTTAGACAAGATTTTATGGAAGAATGAGAGTTGTCACATTGAGTAGTTAAGAGCAATTAGTGGGGGCACATGTGTTGGGCATGGTGGTTCACAGATCTTCAATCACAACTACTCAGGAGGGTGAGATAGGAGAATCATGATTCAATTCCAGCCCAGGAAAAAGTTCACCACGTCCCCAGTCTCAACCAATTAAAAACCTGGGCCTGGTGGCAACGCACCTGTCATCCCAGCTATAAGAGAAGTATAAATAGAAGGATCGTATTCCCTCATTATCAAGGCCAACCTAGGGAAAACGTGAGCTCCTTTGTAAAAAATAATGAGTGAAAAAGTGGAAGTACTTGTCTAAGAAGTTCAAGGTTCAGAGTTCAAACTTCAAACTCCAGTATCATGAAACAAAGAAAAATGACTCATGAACAGGCAATTGCATGTAGAAATTAAAACTATCAAGCTTGTTCTTGAATTTGAGTACCACAAATTATACTCTAATTTCTCTCTCTCTTTTTTTTTTTGCTAAAATTAGGAGTAGATATGCCAACCAAAAGCTGGAAAAAAAAAACCCAACATGTTCACAGATGTCACTTTGAAACCCTTAAGCCTGAAGGAGCTAGTGAATGACCTCACCTAGCAGTTAAACCTCAAAAGTGGATGTATTTCATCTTGTTCTTGAACACATTTGCAAACCTAAGATGCAGGACAAAGAAAGTCCCTGGAAGATTTTTCGTTGTTTTTGTTTTTTTTGGGGGGTCCGGTCATGGAGCCTGAACTCTGGGCCTGGGCACTGTCCCTCAGCTCTTCAGCTCAAGGCTAGCGCTCTACCACTTGAGCCACAGCCCGGCTTTTTTCTTTTTGCTTATGTGGTGCTGAGGAATCGAACCCAGGGCCTCATGCATGCAAGGCAAGCGCTCTACCACTGAGCCACCTTCCCAGCCCGCTTTTTTCTTTTTTCTTATGTGGTGCTGAGGAATCGAACCCAGGGCCTCATGCATGCAAGGGAAGCACTCTACCACTGAGCCACCTTCCCAGCCAAGATTTTTCAAGTCTCCAATAAGGTCAGGATAGCAGAGCAGAGCACCTTCCCTACCCTACAAAGTCAAGACTTAAGATAGTCAGACTTAAGATAGGGAGCACCACAAGGCAACAGAAGGCCAATAAACTCTGTGTCCTTAACCTACTATAAATTAACAGCAGGCTATGTTTTTTTTTCTGTTCCTATTCTTATGTACTCCCACATAGACAACACTTCTGGCAGGTGGATCATGATAATAGTTGCCTAGGTTAATTTTCAGAGATCTGAAGGCCGCTTCTGCTAAAAATATGGACCCTTTCACTTGGGCATGAAAATGTCTATTGATAGATGGCACTACCTGTTAAGAGAACCACCATTCTCTTACAAGTTAACCCATGAACAGTTAGTCTGCAAAATATCTTAAGGAAACATTGGCACACAGAAGAAAAACATCTTCTGAACTCATGTCTATGTCTGATGGAAAGTTACCATGTAAGCCCATCCCCCAAAAATCAATTCAAATCTTTTCTTTCCCTTTGTTAACTGAGTAGCCTGCTCACATCTTTGCTTGGTGCTAGCTCCCTTCTGCCTGTGAGTTATAGTCCTCATAAAGCCTTTCCTGGCTTTCAAGATCTAACTCCTGCTATTTCTGCACACCTGCCCCTAATTCCCCTATTTGATAAATTAAGTTAGATTTAGGCACATAAAGAGAAATTTCCAGGGCTGGAAATGTGGCTTAGTGGTAGAATACTTGCCTAGCATGCATGAAGCCCTGGGTTTGATTCCTCAATACCACATAAACAGAAAAAGCAGGAAATGGTGCTGTGGCTCAAGTGGTAGAGTGCTAGGCTTGAGACAAAGAAGCTCAGGGCCCAGGCTCTGAGTTCAAGCCCCAGGACTGGGGGTGGGGGAGAGAGAGAGAGAAAATTTCCAAAGCCAGGAGTTGTTAGGATTAACTCACTACCTGGGGATGTGAATGATACTCCCAGAACAAGGAAAGTGAAACAGTGAAGACTGATAGACAATTGAGTTCAGTAGAGGCCTTAGACAGGGCCAAGGAATTCCTAAAAGTAAAGTAGTTACCAGAATCTCTGAAACCCCAGCTATACAACTTTGGAACTCTACTACTTTAGAACTTCTTCCAACAAGAAAGATAATCCTAAGCAGGTACAGAGTTATATTAGGAAGAATACTGGTGTTAGAATCGCAGGCTCAAATTCTGGCTCTACAACCATGAGGTGTATATAATCTGGGCCTTAATGTTAAGGTAATATCTTTTATCAACTAGTGAGGAAGGGATTCCAATAGTTGCCTTCAAAGATCCCTTCTAATGTCTTAAGATACTGTGATCATCTCTAAGCCTTGCTTTCTTCGATGTGAAAATGGGATCACAGAATCTCAGCACCAAGAAAGCTGTTCATACCTCCTCTGGTTTTTATGCTAAGCATAAATATATTAGTAACATAGAGAGGAAAGAAATACGAAGGGAAAACCTTCAA